CCCAATCGTCCCTCCCCCCAATCGTCCCTCCCCCCAATCGAGCGCTCATGCCCGCGCCACAGCATGATTGACACCGCCGCCGACAGCAATGGCGCTCCCGACGTATTCGCTGCGACGTCGCTCGCCGACATGCGCGCGGGCCTTGCCCTGCTGCACCAGCACGAGGCCAGCGTCACCCTGCGCCTGAACGAGCTCCTCGCGTCGCAAAACGACCTCTCCCGCGAGCTCGGCCGCCTCGACCTGCTCCGTGCCCACCTCGGCACCCAGGTCGTCGGCACGCGTGCCATCAGCCATGGCATGCTGGGCGATGCCGCTTCGACTGCGCACCGCATCTCGAGCGCCGTCAACCGCCTCGACCGCGAGCAGTCCAACGTCAAGGCGACGCTGGAGGTGGTCGAGCAGGTCGCCGAGCTCAAGGCTTGCGTGCTGGGCGTGCATGGCTCCATGGGAGCGCCGCAGGACTGGGAGACGGCTGCGGGCTACATCCACCGCGCATCCAAGATCCCACACCAGGTCGTCAACGGCGCATTCGCAGAAGAAATCGTGCCTACCGCAGAGGTGCCGGATCCGCCGCGGGTCACCTTGGACGCTGCTGCCGAGTCTCTGTGCGCGCTCTTCTTGCGCGAGTTCGACAAGGCCGCCAAAGAGGGCGATGGGTCCAAGGTGGCAAGGTTCTTCAAGCTGTTCCCCCTGGTCGGACGCACTGGCACTGGCTTGGACGCTTACGGACGATACGTCTGCACAGGCGTGGCTTCCAGGGCACGCACGAACCTCAACTCGGCACCCCCTGCGCAGCGAGCAGAGGGACCCTTCTACGGCAACGTCCTCACCAAGCTGTTCGAGCACATCGCCCAGATCGTCGATGGCCACGAGCCTCTCGTCGAGCAGCACTATGGGCCCGGCATGATGGCCAAGGTGATCGAGCGTCTCCAGATCGAAGCGGACGTGCAAGGCGGTATCGTGCTGGACGCATGGCGTGAAGAGCGCAACATCGACCGCAGGCTGACGGACATCAAGTCCTACGCCTTCTCTTTCCTCGTACAGAGCTTTCTCCCTGCCCAGCAGCCATCAAATGGCACGCCTCGCTCCCGTTCACCTGCCGCTGCACCAGTTCGCACCAGTGAAGACGAGGGCGTTGACATGAAGGAGGTCGACGCTCTGCTTGGGGAGAGCGCGCTGATGCTTGGCCGATACGCGCTCTACTCGCGCTTCATTTCCGACAAGTGCGCACCTTCGCAGCCCGAAGACCGTATCGATCACGGCCTGGTGATGCCGCACTTCCTGGCGAACAGCAACCTGCAACGCAAGGTGGGCAGCCATCTGGTCGAACCCTTCAGTACGATGACCACCTTCTTCTTCCGTCGATCTGTCGAGAAGGCTTTCCAGCTGGACGAATCCCCGCCAGACCTCACTCTCAATCCCAATAAGCCGCTCGGCTCGAGTCCACCGTTTGTCACCTCTGCCGTCGACGACGTCATGTACATTGTCAACCAGGTCTGCCAGCGGACCTTAGCAACGTCTCAGCGAGCTGTTGTAGCCAGTGTGATCCCCACCGTGAGCCGAGTCTTGGGGTCAGACTTCATCGGCATGACGCAGCGCAAGATGCGTGACGAGAGCTATCCCAAGCCTGTCAGAGCTGGCGAGCTGCCACCCGAGAACAAGGTCATCGCATTCACAGTCTTGATCAACAATCTCGACATAGCGAATGACTACATCAATCGGATCGTTGAACAGCAGCTGGGCCGCCGCAACCCGGAGTCTGGGAAGTCGCCGCTGCAGGACCTGTTTCCCTTTGGTCACGACGCCGTCTTTGTTGAGACGACACTCCGGGGCTTGGAATCTGCGTTTGCGACGAAAAGCACAGAGCTGCTGAATGACGGCATAACAGTCCTCTTCGCGAACGTCCTCAAGCCTCGCATTCGACCCATTCTAGCCGAAGCCTTCCGCGATATTGATTACGCGCCACCAGAAGACGGCGATGATCTGGACGAAGAAGAAGAAGCAGAAGAAGACGACGGCGACGATGCAGACCTAGCCAAATCGCGCTTCGACCGTGGCTGGGGGGTTGTGATCCGTCCGCTGAAGCGTATCTTAACAGCCGCGAACTTCGACCGTCTCCTTACGATGGCGCTCAACTACCTCGCCACTGCCCTCGAGAAGCGCATCAAACAATACTACGGTCGTGTCAACGAGCTCGGTGCGGTCAGGTTGGAGCGCGACATCTCAGGCATCGTCACAGCAGCTGTCGCAGGTGGCAAGTACGGCCTGCGCGACGCATTCACAAAGTGCACGCAAATGACGCTGATCATGAACATGGAGGACGATGAATGGGATGAAGTTGCTAGTGATGAGACCGGCGACGGTATCCCTTGGGTTATGGACGCGGAAGAGAGGAAGAGAGTGCGAGCGATCGTGAAAGGCTGAGAGGTTGAGAGGTTGAAATCGCATGGAACCTCTCGGCAAACAATATCAACAAATGAAATGAATCTCATCTATCGTGCATCCCACACGAGACATTGCTATTTTGGGTCGTGGATGCCTCCTCCGAGTACGAGTCAGGTGGGGCCCCTTGTGCAGGGTCCACAGTCGCCGCCGAACCTTGGCTGTAGAACGTTCCGACACCTTGCACTCTTTGCACATTTCTACACCTTCTATTCTTTACCGTCGTTTTGGAGGGTGACATCGCTGACGCCCAAGTATGATTCCGCAGTGATCACGGCACTCAACGCGCAATATGCGCCTCGCATCCTTTTTGGGCTTCTTAGCCTTACTTGGTCTGTCAGGGGCGCAGTGTCCGCTGTACCAACAGTATTCGTACCAGAAACATGAGCCATTCTCTACTGGAACACACAATCTTTCTTATGCGCGGCCGATATCATCGTGTCGCACATTCATCGCCCAGGAGGTTGAAGATGAGATCAAGCGTATGAAAACTGTGATCGCTGACCCTGATCTCTTTCGCCTCTTCGAGAACACGTGGCCCAGCACGCTGGATACGACGATTGCATGGCGCGGATGGTCCAACACGACGGTCAAAGAGACGGATCTCGGAAATGGGGAAGGAGAACCGCAAGAGCTGAGTTTCGTGATTACTGGTGACATCTACGCTATGTGGCTTCGCGACAGCGCAAATCAACTTCAAGCGTATGTGAGCTTGCTGAAACCAGATACGAAGTTCGACAGTCTCGCAAGTCTGTTTCGAGGTGCTATCAACCTCCAGGCGAGGTATATCCTCGAAAGCCCTTTCTGCAACGCTTTCCAAGCTCCCGATGAGAGCGGCGTGATCAGATCGAGCAGCATGAACAGCGACCAGATCACACCTCACTTTGACTACTACAAAGTGTTTTCGTGCCAATGGGAGCTCGACTCTGTAGCCAGCTTCCTCCAGCTGAGCGTCGACTACGCCACTGCCACCAAGGACTACGACTTCTTCAAGAAAGGCAATTGGACCAAGGCCGTCGAGACGATCCTGCACACAGCAGAAAGCATGACCATGGACTCCTACGACGATCTCGGCAACTGGCAACGCACTCCATACACATACTGCGCCCCATACGGCGGAACCCCGATCAATGAATGCGCCGGCTCACCGCACAAAGGCCACATCGGCCTGATCCGCAGCTACCACCGCCCCAGCGACGACGCATGCACATACCAGTACCTCATCCCATCCAACATGATGTTCAGCGCCGCACTCAACGCCTCCGCCCTCATCATGGCGCATATCACCCCGCCCACCTCATCCAGCAACCTCACAACATGGATGCGGCAAATGTCCACCGGGATCCGCACCGGCGTCGAAACCCACGCCATAGTGTCCGACCCACAGTTCGGCAAGATCTACGCCTACGAAATCGACGGCTACGGCTCAGGAAATATCATGGACGACCCAAACATCCCCTCCCTTCTCTCGGCCCCCTTTCTGAACTACCTGCCGCGCGACGATCCGGTCTACATGAATACGCGGCGCAAGATCCTGTCCAAGTCGAACCCATACTACGCCTGGGGTCCCATTTTAACGGGCGTGGGCAGTCCGCATACGCTGCCTGGCAAGCCATGGCCGATGGCGAATGTGATGGCGATTCTGACTAGTGACGATGATGAGGAGATCAAGCAGAATTTGAAATGGCTGGTGGCGAGTACAGATGGGTATGGACTCATGCATGAGAGTGTGAGTGCACAGGTGCAGGGGGTTTGGTCGAGGCAGTGGTTTAGTTGGGCGAATGGGCTGTTTGGGCAGGCTATTCTTGATCTGGAGAAGAGGAGGCCGTGGTTGCTGAAAGAGAATTTTCAGTGAGCAGAGAGAGAGAGAGAGAGAGAGGAATTCGTGAGTTGATTTGGGCTGCCAAGTCAACGTAGTTCTACGGGTGTGGCAAGCGAGGATGAGTATTGTCAGCTCTGTACGCTCGAAAGTGATTGTATACCTCCCCGTCGCGCACCGTGTGGGAGCGGGTTATTTTACAGTCACTGCAAGACTCCAGAGACTTGTGACAGCTCCGAGTGAACGTCGCTGGATTTGTAGAGGCTTGCCTGTGCTGCTGAAAATAGTATTGTACTTGGTTCGGTTGCCGATACGGAGCCATCGTTCCTTCGCTCTAGTCTCAAACGAGCCCTAGCGCGCGGGTTGGGCGTGAAACGCACAGACCCCGGTCGGTGAACCATCGCTCTTACACCCTCCCCCACTGTCGGACCCACAGCTGCTTAGCCGCATCTTACCAAAGCTTCTGCTTCAACACTAGGTTCGCACCGAGTAGCCGGCGTGCCTCACCCAAATTGAGAACGATGAAACGCGCAGCAAGACCGACCCTCACATTCGGCCTCGATTATGGCCTCGTCAAGAGCATGTGGAGAATGCTCCGATAATGTGTCATGATGCATGGGTCTGCACATCTACGCTTTGCATAGCGAGGACGCTCTTGAAACCCCTTCACAATGTCCGCTGAGGCGTGCCTTTAGAAGTTCGATGGCTGATGGCACTGCCGCTGCCAAGATGGTATTCCATCGGGCACATGTAGGTTCCTGGTAGGTTGGTTGTGTCTATATAATTTACGCTGCTGAGTGTACTCCGTTGCACACTGCAGATACACACTCTTAAACTCAGCTTCCGTTTTTTCTACATACTAAGACTGCGTTCCGAATAAGTTCATACTCCATTTTGCATCTCTTTTCGGTTTTCTTTGCTACAGTCGTGCCACATCTCTTGGGTTCGTTCTGGAACGATGCATCTCTTCGACTTGCCGAGTACGCTGCTACTTGCTGCTTACATTAGCTCGATTGCAGCCGCGACGCAGGATGGGCATCGGGTCCTCCGTGCAGCAACAAAGCGGTCAGATTTTTTCAAACGCGATACAAGAATATTGCAGAAGTTTGAATCCGAAGTCGTTTACATTGAAGGTTTGCACTCTTGGTTTGTTATGCTTCCCACGATGCTGACAGTAGGCAGAAGAGAATAGCTGGGATGGCAGGAAGACGTTCGCGTCCTCGGTCAAAGTAGGCTCGAAGAAACCTATCCTGAATCTGGAAGAGATCGAACATCATCTCCAGGACGTGACATGTGAAGATAGTAGGATGACATTGCACTTCGTCGATGCATCATCCGCGCGAGACGCAAGAGCTGCTTGCCATGGCGGACACGGAGGCATGGGTGGATTGATCATCACATCGCACCAGAGCTGTAACAAAGACGGCGAGCGAGCGGTTTACAAGTTTGAACCAACTTTGACTTTGGCAAGGTAAACCAGAAGCTAATGTATGCAGGATCGACGAAGTGACCTACGCCGATGAAGGCGTAGCCCTCGATCTCGCCGTTACCAAAGCCCTATGGCAAGACGCCTTTGACAACATCGACATCAACTTCGGCCACACACGATACGACCACATCTATCGACGGCACTCTGACTTCTCGCGTGCGCGGAGAAAGCGCCAAGACGAGCTGACCATCGAAATCCCCACAAACACCCCTGACAACGTCACTGATGTCACGTTCGACCTCACCTCCGAGCTCCTCGACACTACCTTCACCGCAGCCGACTTCCTCACGGGTCTCGAAAGCACAGTCAACTTAACCAGTGTTCCCAATTTGCCCTTCGAGATTGGCTGCAAGAACTGCTCTACGCGAGGCCAAATCGTGCTTACGCAGGGCGCGATCAAAATCGATACCAAGCAAATTGACTTGGTCCCCGACATCTTCAAAGGTGGAGATGATGGCAAGGAAATCACCAGCATCATCACTGGTGGGTACATGGACCTTGCTGTGACTGGAGTCGGAGCACGTCTTGAGATGTTCGCTCGCCCGATCAGCTCGGGATCCTATGAGATCGCTTTGTTTCCTCTACCGGTTTTGGGATTTGTGATCCCTGGAATTGGAAAGGCTGGTGCGAGCTTTGAACCGAAGATCAGTGTGGACTTCGAGATTGACAGCGAACTTGCTGTCAACTACGGTATTGACGTGGCTGTAAGTGACCCGCTCCTTTTTCGCAACCAAGAGTTTGCTAACCGTGATCAAGATCCCAGACGATGCTGGCATTAAAGTCGAGCTCGGAGACCTCACGAACACAACCATCACCGGCATCAAGGGCGCAACCCTCAACGCTCTACCGTTCACTTCCAACGTCACCGACGCAGACATCGCTCTCAGCCTTGCATTCACGCCAACAATCCCCATTGAGTTTGAGTTCAGCGATAAGCTAAGCGCTCTGGTCACCGTGTCTCTGAACCTCCCACGCCTCGATGCGAAGCTGACCACCAACGCCGAAGACCAGTGCAATCTGCTCGACGAAGAAAACAAGACGAAAACGGAAAAGAAGCCCAAACCTAAAGACACCGACCTCAGCAAGCTCGTATTGGTCGAAGCCAACATCTCCGTAACTGTCGATGTAGCCGCAGACCTCACACTCCCCTTACTCCCGGCGCCGTTTGACTCGGCAGGTACTTCAGCGAACATTTTTTCCACCGAGATACCCCTCATGACATCGTGTGTCAAGCCAGTCAAGGGCGGAATCAAAGTCACGGAGATGGCACCTGTGGCCACGATCAAGGCTGACAAGGCGGAGTCGGAAGCCCCTGCGGCTTCGGCTTGTACGAAGCATGAAGCAGACAAGCCGTGTACGTGCGCCACGGCGACAACGACGGTCTATGCCCAACCACCGACTGGAGGTTATGGCGGTTCTCCGCCGAGGGAAACGAATCCACCATTGGAGATGACTCCTTACTACCCCGATGCGCCCCCAGTCTCGACGACAACGAATGGGGAGAAGCCACCGAGTACTACAGCGCTGGAGATGACCCCTTACTATCCAGGCGAGCACTCACCGTCTACATCCACACCATGCACAAACACCGAGACGTTGCGCATCACCATCTCCACGCCACCGGTGAGCAGCACAGGACAACCTGCGTCGCCCCCAATTATTGTTATTCCTGGCTCTAAGTCTTGTGATTCGAGCACACCCATCTCTACATCCGAACCAGCTCCTACGACAAGTACAGCGATACAGACTGAGGATGGGTACTTTCACCCCTCTTCTCCGCTCACTACCTCAACCTCGACTGAGTCTAAGCACGAGACTCACAGCGAGAGCGGGACCAAGACCGAACCAACGTTGACGATGAGTACGACTAGTCCGCCGAGAATTGAGGAGAGTAAAGGATTCATGACGCCCCCAAGTAGCATGACAAGCCATGTCCCCGCGACAGGCACAGCTCCAGCCGAATTTACAGGTGGGACGGCGCCAGGTGCTGTAGTTGGGGTGGTGGGATGGATGCAGGGTGGCTGGCAGATTGGGATGCTGTTTGTGAGTTTGGGGTTTGGGGCGTTGATGGTATAGACCTCCACGCCAAAAATAGGTGGGCAGTTTATGAGTGGAGGGTTGCAGGGAAATTGTAACCACTAGATAGAGCAAAATCTGGCATTCGGTGGTAAAACATCATTGTCTCGGCCTTGAAAAGGCAATGAGTATGGAGTGGCGTTATATCCATGTCGTGTATGAGACCGTCCAGGGTTCAAACGGACAGTGTACCCTTCCTTAACCAAGATGGATCAGCTACGGTTCCGCAAGCATAATATGCTTGCCCTTGATGGAACAGTGTGCGAGCGAGCGATATGCTGAGCTATGCTGCTTCCATAGCGTCTTGGAGGGCCACCGACCGGAGTTTAGCCGGCTTGACAGCATCTTTACTGATGCTGCTGGGGGGGGGGGGGGGGGGGCCATAGCGTCTTGGAGGGCCACCGACCGGAGTTTAGCCGGCTTGACAGCATCTTTACTGATGCTGCTGGGGGGGGGGGGGGGGCAAGGAAGCCAACATGTGATTCCATGCTATACGTAGTGTGTTTCGCAATTCACCATGCAGACCTGCAACTCGGTTGAAAATGTAAATTTGGTCTTGGTTAAACGCGTGAGTATCACTGGAGTAAAGCTCTCATATGTTGAATCTGTGCTCTCGGCAGCTTGAGCCGATACAGCAGCAAACATACACCAAGGATTGGGAGGAGGCACGAGCTCCTCACGTTACTGTCCGCCAACCGAAACCGTACCGCTCTCAGCACAGCGTGCCATTGTAATCAGACACAGCCAGAAGTGCAGTCTTGGTGTCTGAAGAAATGCCATTCGATTGCTACGAGGGAGCACGACCTGCAGGTCTCTCGCGCGACTTCTGCACGCTGCGCAGGCATTTTGGAATCGATAGCGGTCTTGTCCAACCTCTACACAGTCGTTCGAAGTATGAGTTGGTCCTTGCATACGCGAAGAGTGGGTCGCATTTCTTCCCCGATTCGACTTGCACGACTAGCGCCTCGGTTTACCCCAGACGGTACGAACGGTGACCCCGCATGGCAGCACAGCATCCTCTAGGCGACAAGCAATTGGATCTCATAAAAGGGGATGTAAGCCCAAATAATTGTGCTGCATGCGCCGCAACTGTTCCTACCTATATTGTTGACCCCATCATGCCTATCAGGAGCGAATGGAGTCTGGCGCGTGAAGGTACGATGTGCACGCGATGCGCGTTGATGGACGTTAGGCTAACACAAGCCCAGGTGTCACCGGCGATACACTCGCGCGACTTGTCAAGCTTACAGCGCTCAATCCGCTGTTCACTCTGCCACTCTTCCTCGCTGGCAAATACACAATCGATGGTGGTCGCGTCGCCGCTGACCACGTGACTGCGTTCAAGTACCTAAAGACGCTGCTCATCCTCGGACTCGCGGACAAGGTCAGCCAATGGCTCGACAACGCCGTGACGAACAACTGGACCAACGACACCTACGTGTGGAGTCAGGAGATCGTGGTCGTGACAGGAGGAAGTGATGGCATTGGCAAGATAGTCGTGCATCTTCTCGCTGAGAAGGGCATCCAGGTCGCTGTGCTGGATGTGCAGGAGTTGACATATGAAGGTACTCCTCCTCCGCCTACCTCGCCGACTCTACTCACTCCATCTCAGCACCGCCCTCAGTCCGCTTCTTCCACTGCGACCTGACCTCCCCCGCCTCCATCAACGAAGCCGCCTCCTCCATCCGCAGCACGCTCGGCGCCCCCACAATCCTCATCAACAACGCGGGCGTCGCGCGCGGCAAAACAATCCTCTCCACCACCGAGCGCGACCTCAACCTAACCTTCAAGGTCAACACCTTGGCGCACTACTACCTGGTGCAGCAATTCCTCCCCAGTATGGTGGAGCGAAACCACGGCATGATCGTCACCATCGCCTCTTTGGCGGGCTACATAACCGCGCCCTCCATGGTCGACTACGCAGCCTCGAAATCCGCAGCCGTCGCGTTCCACGAAGGTCTCTCCGCCGAGCTCGTCACGCACTACAAAGCGCCGCGCGTGCGCACAGTGCTGATGTGCCAGGGCTACACGCGGACGAAGCTATTCGAAGGATTCGAGAGCAAAAGTCTGTTCCCTGAGACGGTGGCGGAGGAGATTGTGAAGGCTGTGTTGGACGGACGGAGTAAGCATCTGGTGCTGCCAGAACTGACTTGGGCGGTTGCCCCGCGGCTGAGGGGGTTTCCGCTGTGGATGCAGTATGGGGCGCGGAAGAGGATGGATAACATGATGAGGGGCTGGAAGGGGAGACAGGTTGTGCAGCCGAGTGAGAAGGAGGAGCGGGATGGGAAAAGGGTGGAGGATAGTACGATATTGGTCGACGGGGAGTAACGGAAGTGGTATGCGGTTGTGTACAGGTGGCAGGTCTCGCCAGGCGTTAGAAAAGTTAGAAAATAATGTGAACGTGCAGTATGCATTGGTATCTCTGTGAATATACAATCGCTGTGTATACAGGCGTCGAAAGAAACGAGACCATAGGAAATAGGTAACACCAAAGAAGCCCGACACCAGCCCCAGTCCAACGCCGATACCCAAACCACCCAAACCACCCAAATCACCCAACTCCATCAAATCACATTGGCATCATCCAAATCCATAACGCTACTCTCGGGTGCTAAACTCACCGCACTCCTCCCCTTACTACTTGCTGTAGAATGCATACTCATCGCGCCACTCATGACCCTGACGACCTTTTTCCTGCCCGGCTTCGCAATCAGCACCTGCGCCGGACAAACGACAATCTCGTCCTCGCCCTCTCCAAAATCATCGCCCTTCTTGACCACAAGCGGGAACAGCACGACCTTGACAATCGCCCCTCTTGCCTCGAGCTCGTCGTTCGATGTTGTTTCGCCGCTCCGCTCGTTCATCAGCGATGCATTGAACGTGACTTTCGCAACGAGGTCACCGTGGATATCGTACTCGGGTTGGAGGGGCGGGAGCATGATGTATTCCGCGCGCTGGGTGCGCATTTCAATTGAGAGCTCGACGGCGAGACGCATTACGTTTCTTAGGCTTGCTTGGATCTGCTGTTGGAGGTGCGATGGCGGTGAGAGTAGGGTGGAGAGGGTGCTGTATATTTCGTGGACGACGGCTTCGGTGTCCTGGGCGCGCTGTTGCATGAAGGGGTCGCGTTTGGAGAGGAGAGTAAGGGTGATTGCTCGCCATTGGGCTACGGCGCGTGGGGGACCTGGTCATGTTAGATAAAGTAGGGGCAGGGATCAATACCAATGCACTTACCAACTTCTGACAAGGTCTTTTCTAGCGACTTCAATTTCTGTCGCTGTTCTCTGTCCATACCGAAGAGGTATCGTGTGAAGACGTACTCCCAGATCATCGACATGGCAATCGACATGAACACATCTCGACGCTTCACACGGTCCGCGAGAAGCGAATCGACATCCGAACCATCAAGAATGGCATTGTCCAGGCGTTTGTCAATCTTCTCCCGCGTCGCGGCATCCAGTCTAGCATCGGCCTGGATGTCAGACGACAGACGGCAGGCGCGAGTGTCCGAGAACTTAGAAAATCGCAGCACCCACTGCTGTACGTGTTGACAGAGCTGTTGACAGGCACTATCGAAGTAGTCCTCATCGCGGATAGTGAGGAAGCTCTCGCTGGGTTTCTTCGACGCAAGAATCTGCTTTTGCAGGCTCTTGATCTGTTCTCTTGCGCTTGATAGTTCTGTCTCTAGGCGGCTGATCTCCGCGTTGCGTTCGTCGAGCGCAGCACCAATCTCTTCGCGAAGGGCACCTTCTATTCCTCTTGTCATCTGATCATGTTGCGATCGCAAGCTCTCCAGTTCTCTTTGAGATGTCTGCCATTGCTGGTGTACCAACTGGCCTTCGGAATGGAGCTGAGCGTAACGCTCATTGGCATCATTCGTGAGATTGCGATTGGCCTCCGTCAGGGTGTTGTTGAGTTCAGTCAGTCTCGCTATCTCTTCTTGCAGCCGTTGAAGTGTGTCCTTGAGCTGCGCAATATCGATATCTCGTTGGTGAATCTGGCGATCACGTGCTTCCACTGCTTCTTGGACCAGCTGCTCGTCAACCTGGCGCTGATGCTGTTGGGCTTCTAAGGTTTCTTCGGCCCTCGATCTTGCATCTTCGAGTGATCGATTGTGTTCTGCAAGCTGATCGAGTTGTGTTTGCAAGTCCATGATCTGCATGCTTTGGCGTTTACGCAGACTGGGTGGTCGCGTCGGAGACATCGGCGACCGCGGGGCCTCACCCATGGCCTCCTGAACACTATTAGCATCCAGTGCGCCAACATTATATGAACAATCACTGCTTACGAAAGTTTCGGCCATACTGGCGCGACGTCCTTTGCCTTCACCCCTCAACTTTAATGCGGCTGCGAAGGCTGCGGTCGCTCCAGCCGCGAGTGCGATGCCTGAGAGGTTGGGTTCTGTCGTGCTGCTAGCGTCCTGCGCACTGGCCTCGCCAAGCCTCGACGCAGCCCTCAGGTCTCCTGATTGGGTCCTTTCCACTCGTCGCAAAGAGTGGGTTGAAGCATTGCTTGCCATGCTCATAGAGCTCATGGGCCGTTCAGTCTCTGGCGATCGGAGTTTACCGATATTGCTGAAGGATTGCTGGCTGCGAACCCCTGGCGAATCCCGAATCTCAGCCAGCTGCTGCTTGATCGGATCAGGAGTTGAGTGGGGCAGTCGACGCGCAGGGCTCAGGGCTACACTCCGATCAACAGGATCGTTGGCCTGATGCCATGGCGTCTCTCGTGAGGGCGTTTCTCGACCAGAAACTCCGTGTGTTACGGGCGTGCTTCTACGGTTCGCGGGCGTTGGCGTAGTCGGCGGTGGTGATCTCATACGATCAGAGAACGACCTGTTGCGCTCAGTGCGGCGCAACGACTTCACCCCTCTCTCTGCAGATCCGACATCAGTAACCGATGTGCCCTTCTTCAGAAGCAGGGAATCGTCTGGACTGTTCTCTGTGATTGTGCCAAGTGACTGTGTACCCGGAGTGCGTGCACGCTTCGGCACAGGTGTTGTCACGTCCTTCTTCTCCTCGTTCGGATCACCAAAGACTGACTGGTAAGGCTCTGCTTGGCGCGAGACCCTTGTTGGAGATGTCTGCTCTTGACGGGAACGATCGGCCGGAGTCTTGCTGTGAGATTCGATTGTTCGCGGATTGTCGTAGTTCGGGGTTCTGGGCGCGACTGCCGGCGAAGTGCCGTATGCGCGAGTCGATGGCGAGGAGTCGAATAGGTACGACGTTCGCTCCTTGGTGACAAAGTCAGAAGTAGGAGGTGATTCTATACCTCTGGAAGCTGGATACTCTGGAAGCGCTGGACTAGCTTCTACCTCTTGACTTTCTCCAGCCTTTTGCACAGACTTCTTTGGGGGCGTTCTGGGTCCTTGTGGATGTCGACGCACTTCGCGAGATGTTTCCTGAACTCGAGTTGTCGGTGCCTCGACTATAGTCTCTGGCACGTCTCTTGCGCTACTGTCAAGTCCCGAAAATGACCACGTTGGTTCGACATGGGCCTTGCTTGACTCCTCGTTCTTGTGCAAACGCTTCTCCTCCGGTTGATCTTCATGAAATGACACCGGATGTGTTCGACGCTTATGTACCTCTTGCGGACTGACCTCAACGTCGAGCTCCGCTGATTCCTTGCCCTTCCGGCGCTTGGTATCCTTCTTCTCCTCTTTCGAGCTGCGGACAACTGGATCTTCAATCTTGGGTGTCAAGACTTGAGGGAATGCATATTCGTTGACGTTGTTGTTGGCAACCATTTTATGCTCTTGTGCAAGTTTTGGTGGCATGGTCGCTGTCTCGTCCCGCACCGTGGTCCTCCCCCGCTCCTCCTGTTCTCTACCCATCTCGCCGGTCCTACTCTGTTCTACCCTTTGGTCCTTCTTCGGTGGCTGCTCAAGGGTGCTCAAATCGCTCACTGGCTCGTTGACAGGCGTCTCAAAGCCGAGTTCGCGGGTAGTGAAGCCAGCCGGAGTCTCAACAGTGCGAGATCCCGTAAACGGGACCTCAAGCACCGGGGTCTCAGTAGCTGTCTGCTCAACACTGACCTGCATACTCAAAGCTGTTGTTGCGGTATCAGTCGTGCGCTTCTTCTTGCCCTTTTGCTTCTTGCTCTGAGAGGATGCGTATAGCTCCTCGGGATCGGCCTCTTCCAGTACACCGGGAGGTGACTTGCGTCTCGTGAAGGCCGGATCGTTAAGCACATCCATTGGATCGAATGATGGTGTCTTGGTAGCGGCCAACGGTACTTCAATACCCTTGGGCAGAGTGCAGTCGATACGCTCCGCGGTCTCTTTGGTGGGCGAGGCCGATGCGAAATTCGATTTGGTTGGCGAAGTTGATGCAGAAACGCGGCCCATGGAGCCAAACCTCGAAACACTGGCTCTTCGCCTGGCAGTCGCAACTTCGTCGTCCGGAGCCATATCGTGGTCTTCTTGTCGAGACGTACAACGTGACCCATAGAAAGAAGGGTCATTGATCACGTAGCTTGGGTCAAAGCCGGATTCGTTTAGTCCTGCAGCGACGGCTGCAGCGAAGTCGACGTCGTGTCGTGGCGATGCTGAGCGTAATCGCTCAACATCATCGTATGGAGACCTCGAGCGCAGCCGATCATCCGACGCTGCGCGCGAAATCGACTTCGAGGTAACGATTTGAAGCGGCATGACTGATCTTGACTGACTCTCGTATCGCTCTGCGAGATTCTTGACACTGCCGCTTCTCTTGTGACCGAGGCTGCGCTCCGCTTCTCGCAGTTGCTCTGGCGACTGTTTTTCGAACAAAGCAGCTAGTCTGTGCTTCTTGGAACCCTTTTTATTCAAGGTGGGCAGGACATCCTCGGAGATAGTATCGAAGGTCTTTGCGGGAGTAGACGGCTGGGCGGAGCCCCCTTCCTTGCTCTCGGTTACCGCGCTTGTTTGTTCAGATGTTTGCTTGGTGATCGTCGGATGAGGGACATCAACCTCTGGCTCGCTGTTGGCTTGGACAGGTTCATATTGGCGAGCAGCACGTTGAAGCTCTTCAACACCCGTCATGGAAAAAACATTGCCGATAGACTCCCGATGTTTGTGCGGTACACTTGGTAGCTCTTCCATAACAGGCTCTGGTAATATAGCTGGCTGCTCAGCCTCTGGAGCTACATCTGAAGACACTCTTGACTTCTTACTCTTCTTCTTGTTGTCCTTCTTACTCTCCCTACGCGATAGAGCTGGTGCAGTTGTAAGTTCTTCTGCAAAAACGGGCCCGACAGGCTCCTCAAGGCTGATGTCGCGGTTGTCTACAGTACGGACAGACGGGGAAGTGTTGTTCATCGGTTCGGAAGGAGGAGCAACGAGCGGCGCAGGGACGAAACTTGGTTCAGCGACGCTCACACGCTCTTGCTGTTCAACGGTCTTAGATGAATGATTCTGTGCGGGCGAGT